ATTCATTATAAGTTTATATCAACTTTTTATCCTAGTATATCAAAGTGTTGGTTTTGATATTAATTGTAATTGAAGATTAATATTCGTAAAAGTAGGAGGACGCGTCTGACAGTTGACTGCTTTTGCGTATTAAATTTAGAGAAAAAATATAACATTCAATTTCTTAGTTAAAAAATATCCCGCCTTCACTCCAAAGAATTTGTTCACTTAGTTGAATATCCAGTCAAACCATCCCCCGTAAAGAACAATTTTTAGAGTGTTACGCGTGCTGAGCAATTCAGAAGTACACCGCTAACGTCGATATGGATGGCCTTTGTTTTTCTGCGTCAGCCGCAATCACGCGAGAAATCTGTCTCCATGCAAGATGCTATTTCTCGGTCATGTTATGGATCAGCGGCTTTGTGAGGCGTAACAAATCTACTTGCGAAACAGAATGCGAGTCCCTGCCATGCCTGCTCATTATTGCGGATATAGTTGACAAATGCAGTTAATCGGAGGTGGTTTCTGATGCGCATTTCTCTGCTTAGAATTTATACCTAAAATTATTCTGTGATAAATGAAAATATTTTTAATATGGGAAAAACCGGTAATTTATGAATGAGCTTAGGTAAACCCAACTGAATAATGTCCGAAGCAACGAGCGATCGTGGCTATTTTTTTTAAATTTTGAACTGAAAATTTATCTGATCCAGCTCACAAAATGGTTTGTGGGATTTATAAAAAGAGGGAGTGTAAAATCGTTAAATCATTGATAAAATACTACAGAGAAAGAATTTAATTAATAGCCCCCACACACTACGCTGTATAATTTGATTCCAGCAGCTAAATGCATATCATATCTGCGTTAATAAAAGGTAGAGGCAGAGTGGACATGGCTGGCAAGAGACTCAGTATTGAGATAGAGGTTTCGATGTGCCTTGAGCAGTTTTTTTACCATAATCACCGTACGGTTTTTAGACGAGTAAAGGGAGTGTGACCCAGTTACTGATGCAGTGCACCAGATATTCAGCCTGACAAAGAGCTGGAATTGATGCTACACTATTGCTTTACTTTCACCTTTACTGTGCAAACAAGTAGCTCTTCAGGCGCGTTATCGCACCGCGAGTGCACAATTTGAGTTTCGTTAATTTCAGTATTTTTAAAAATTTATGCAAAAGACCATCAAGGAACACTTGAAAAATCGAAATTCGAATGATTATGCGAACAAACGCTAGCAAAACTCAATCGATTGAATGTATCAAAATTATTTTATAGTTGAAATTTTTTTAACATTGTGCTTTTTGGGTTTGCAGTTGAAAGTAAAAAAAGCACTTATTGCTGAACGACACTATTTAAATTATTGGTTATCCCAATAATAATGTTTAAAATTATTCTAATGATTTATTTAGTAAATAAAAACTAAAAAACAGTGCCGCCAAAAGTAGAAACAATAATTCACCTTCAATTTTCTCGATGAATAATAAATGAATTATAATAAATAATTAATAAATAAAATATATATAATAAATATTTGTTATGGAGAAACATTGGTGCAACATCTGTATACTGAAAATATTCAGCATTCAAAGAGGAATATTTTTTCCAGGATTCATCAAAGTCAAATTCTGTCTTAGGACTGGTTTGTCAGAAAGTCCTGTGAGTATAAAGGACAGGTACTTAATAGGCATTGAAGTTCCCGAAGTTTCATAAATCATCTGGGAGTCAAGTCAATATTCAACCTTTCGTTATGTTATAATTTCTAAATGTTTAATTTGAAAATTATTAATTGGCAATATTCTATACATTATTTTTGACTTAATATGTAACTGAACTCTTATAAATTATCAGGAAGCTCACTTGAATCGGTGATGTTTTCTCCCAATTTATAAACGATTCTCTTGATTCTCAAATTTATGATAAATAATTCAGATCACGATCTTTCCCCATTAATTAATTCGTTGATTGTAAATGGATGCGCAAATCTATTAACAAGCCTTTATTATTCCCTAGCACCTTATCAGATTGTGACCTCATATAATGCCTACCGCGCTCTAGATGAGCCCCGAGATTTGTTGAATGTCAGACTAATTATTTTTACTTTTGTTTCTGCATGTGGCGATCTCGATCATGCCAGCAGTAATAGAAACTTTAGTCAACGATAAGCATCGCTGTAGCGAAGCGGTCACGCGTGGTCATTTTTCTAGGTGTCACCCGACCCTATATATCCTGACATGCCACGTGCGGAGTATAAGTAGATAATCTTCATAAATATATGAATTGATCAAATCTGTTGCAAATTGAATAAATTTTCATTTCGAAACTTTGCGATAATACTATCAGGTAATAAAGGGGTTTGAATAATTGTTTCACTATCCGTTTGGCTTAAATTTGTAATAAGAATTATTAGTTGAATCGCTAAGGGGTGACCTATAACAATCAATTTTAATACAATTTTATTACGCAGTGAACATACAGTGGCAGCAAGCCTAAATCATAGCATTATTGCATCAGAGAAAAAAAGAGAGTTCTGATTAAGAAAAAATATTGATTGGCTAGAGATAGCCGGCCACTAAATTTTGGATCGAAAATCTACGTTATAATGAATCGTCATAAGTAGCGGAAAATTAGAAAATATATAGTGGGTTTGACTTCGTATGGATTGATCTACTTATAGTTTTGCGCGATTTTTGTCAATTGGTATATTTTATGTCTTAAAACTAATAGAACATTTTGCATACCTTCAACTATGCCATTCACTATCTACAATTGCTGCCTGACTGAATGATGTCAGATGGTTTTCCAGAAAAGACGATCATCACTTAATTTCCACCGTTTTATTTAACTTGAACCCCATTTACCTATTGACTTAGATTCGATATTTCGTTGAAACGAAAGTCCTTCACGTCTGGTTGGTCGAGGCCGTATAATTGGATCTATGGCCAGTCCACTGGGCACATGTGCTGATTACTTGCGTCTCATATGGTTAAAAACCAAACTTTCTCATGAATTGAACGAGAGCAAAATCAAATGATCTCGCTGTGAATATTTATATGAAGGGAGCAGTTGAGTGATGCAAAACAGAGCAACTACATCATTAAAAATTGTCAGACAAGGCTTAAATTCTCCCATTCACTATTCGCCAGTGAGATGTATCTTCAATTACATTCATGCCCCCAGTCTGATACAATGAAGATGTTCAAATTTTTCTGTTCAAACTTTTAACTGCTATCTACATTTTATTGTAAAAACTTCGTCCAGATGCAGTAGAGGTGATTGATGCTAGTGCACCGTGGTGGTACGCGGTGCACCAGCATCCGTCAAAAGATAACGCTAACTTCTGCCTAGGAATACTTTTCCTGCTGATCAACTTTCTCTCTCGTGCTCCGCGCAAAGCAAATAAGTGGAGTCAATGTTGTTCAAGACCACAAAAACTGCGGTTCTCCAAATGGAACTCAATTTATAAGTTGCGTTCGTCCTAGTAAAATATGCAAAAATAATGAAATCTTTTTATTAGGATAGCGAAAATTCCGCTTAACTTCTTAATGAGATTCTCCTGAACGTGACCAAATTCTATTTTTAAGCAGTCGCTTCATGGATATTTCAGCTTTGTAGTTAGTGAAGGTTCTCGTAGAGGTGAGTGTAATGTAAAGCTTCTTTAGAGATCATAAATAATTTTTTCCTGCAGATAATCTGAGGATATTGTTCCAGTGTCTCAATTCCAAAAAAATTAAATTTATATTTTAAATGCCGGTGGAAATTGGGAGATCTAACAACCTTTTATAATTTACTGGAATACATTATTCAAATGAAATAATTCGTTCATTTGATTCGTTTTAATCTATGACGTATCCGCAGCCTTGCGCATCCATTTTGGTTGCATTGTTTACAAAAGATCTTTGTTTAACGGATGTCTGCAGCCAACAACACACTTCTGCGCACTTCTGATGTAGGTGAAGGTGAGCAGTTCGATGACTCATGTTTTTATAACCTAATGCGATAGTGCAAGTGAATTGCCACGGCTTCCAGGCACATAATTTAAGATAATTTTCAATAATTTTCTTGGCTTTTAGACTCGCTGACTCGCTTCATAGGTATATCTTTTAAATCAATATCAAAAGAATTATTGTGATAAATAAAGTTGAAAAAAATTCATAAATTTGTAGTTTGTGGAAGTGCAGTAATAAATATGCGTGTAATCCTATGCTGACACATGATAATCAATCAGTCATTGTTGAATATTCAGAAAAAACATATGCGAATTGCTCATAGTCGACTAACGGATGATTTAAGAAGTGTTTTGATTAAAAGTTTTATAACAATTATTTAGCATCCTTTAGCTGTTTTGCTACAGCCAAATTCACAGCAGAAATAACCGGTTATGATAAATAATCGAAAGAGCATCAAAATGCAATTTTTGTGCTCGTTTTTCAATGCCAACATTAACTCTTCCTCTCTCTCTCAGCCTCTCTCTCTCTATCTCTCTCTCTGTGTTCAAGTGCAACTTGGAACCATTTGAAATGATTCCCTAAAAAGTCTACGGATATCTCACTTTTAGAGTCGGATTATCGCGCGTCAATGTAAGCAATACAGGGTTATTCTAAATTATAGTGCCAATATAACAAATTTTTATTTGTTTGAGTTTGAATTCGAAATGAATAGTTTACACACCAATGGAAAGTAAGGGATTCAACGTTTATTTTACATCTTTAAAATAAAAATGTATAAATTATAAATATATATAAAATGTAAATAAAGAATATAAATTATAAATTTTTGAAAAGCCTGTGGCTTTTAAAAAATATATCTCAAATACCATTTGTATAAAGGCGTTTGAGATCCGTTTTAAAAAGTATGCAAAGGGTAATAAATTTCGTCAGTGAACCAGGCATGCAGTTGCCAAAGGATTACTTATATAACATCTCATTTTTCACTGATAAACGTTAAAAATTTTTGCATTAAAATTAAATGCAGTAACTTTTTTTCCAATGAATCTCATTGATTAGAATAGGGCTGGTACTCACCTCCAGGAGGAAGCATAGCAGTAGTAGCAGCTTCATGCTGCTCGGGATCTGCAACGAGAGGGAAGACAATTTTAGTTCGCTCATTGCAAATTCTATGTTATTAAGGTGCAAGTAAATAAGCGTATTGAGGCAAGAGGTATATAATGTTAAAATATAAACTATAATAATAGTAATATTATTACTATTATTGTTGTTGTTATTATTATTATTATTATTATCATTATTATTATTATTATTAATAATATTATTATTATTATCATTATTATTATTATTATTATTATTATTAATCCACTGATTACAATATAAAGTTGCACAGGATGTGTGGTATTAGTTAAATTTATAACGAGTTGCAGGATCATGAATCGTCAGGAACTACGTGTTCCTCCAAATATCCAGCCCTATATTACTTTTGAAGTCTATACAAAAATACGTTGCCTCTCTTAAAATATAAATTTATAATTAAATTAACGAAAAATTTAAAATAACCACAAAGAAATGTATCTCCAATTGAAAATTTTTAGCTTTAAAAATTTTCATACATTTTTAAAAGTAGAATATTTTGAAAACATTCTACATTTTTCGGAACACGTGAGCGTATTTATTATCACACCAACTTATTGCAAAAGTTCCAGAAACTTTGAAGTAAGTTGGTGCGTTCATAATGTTTCTACTTCTACCAATGTTGTTGGCACGTGATTCTACAATTGACTAGGCCGCTGCATGTTTCTACTTCTACGAATGTTGTTGGCACGTGATTCTACAACTGACTAGGCCGCTGCATGTTTCTACTTCTACGAATGTTGTTGGCACGTGATTCTACAATTGACTAGGCCGCTGCATGGCTCAAAGTATGCGTCGATAATTACTCAAGTGAGTTCATTAAGAATTCAAGGCTTGAACAAAGTGTGCAACTTTCTTTCTCTATTGCACGCCCGCTCTCTCTTTCTCGTAGAACGATACAGCAATGTGCGATTTCTTATTCTATTAAAAGAGTAAAAAATGTCCATTAAATTACGATCAGTGTATCTGTCGAAATTTAATCCGTAGTTAATTAAAAATTTTCCACCATCGCGTCCTAATCTCAAATGCCCCTAAAACTATAATTTTAAGGTGGGAATACCAAAAGAAATTGATAACATGCTCATTCTTAGTTTCCCCTTTCAGGATTTCTTAAAATTTCTTTCTTTCAAGTAGATAAGCCCGTCAAAACTTTACGAAATTCAAGCATCCCCATTATATCTTTGGTTGAAACCAGCCAGACACTACGAGTAGCCGGGGCATTTATATGAGCTAGTCGTAGTCTCGGAGTCTACAGTTATAGCCTGGCCACCGCAAACCTCGCCAACGAAAGAGAGAGTGAGGGAATTTCTCGATTCAAAAGCTGGCTAGACTCCGGACCCCTGACCTCTACTATGACTAAGAATGTGCCGGCTAACGACTTATGTGGTGACTCATTCCTAGTTACTTTACAAGGTCCTTCCGAGAATTTGACTGGTTACTGTGAATTTAACATCCCACTGTACTTTTCCTGAAATAGATCTTATTGTGTGATACTGAAATAAAAACCGAGTAAATTGACACATGAATTATATAGTCGGACGGTTTAAAATAAATAATTCGTAACATATTCAAAATTAAAGCTTCATGCACGGAACAGCTCAACATCTATAGTTGACAAAGCGTTCTTGCTGCTTCTTCGTTGAGGCATTCACATATGGTTGTATTTTTTTGTGAACTCGCTCCTTGAAGCACTATTGTAATTAATCAATTTTATTCAAAGAGAAATAATGTGAATTCTTGAAGCGATATTTTCTATGAAATGAGTGATACTAACCTTCAGTTTTCTCAGTATTTTCGAACAAAGTGCATTTATGAACAGAATACTAAAAAATATTACAATACTCTTCGCCAAGAGCATAAACGTCTCAGACTTGGTAACCACGACATCGTGCTCGGGAGTGCTCCTTATCTCGCACGAAGATGGATCGCTCGGATGAAATTTCGGATAAAGTTGGAAATGAGTGTGTCACTCATTTCCCATTATTCATGGAACTTGCGAGTAGCTTGCAAGAGATTCTGCAATGATCCTATCGTTACGAAAATGGAGGCTCTGTAAAGTGCAAATCAAGCAAATTCTCCGGGAAAACCTGTGTTTGCGAGGTTTTCGGACTCAATTTCATGTGATATTTTGCAGCGGGGCAATGAAGTGACGCCATTTAAGGGCAATGAAGAATGTGGATTTGCGAGTTTCCTTGCTCCGCCAACTGCGTCCGGAGTCTTCAGCATGAAAAATATGCTAGCTTTCCATTTTATAACACCTGCATACATTGCTGAGTCCTGCTCGATTTTAATTTTATAAGGTGCGAACACAAAAGTCTTCTTTGATGTAACGACTTCAATTTTACTGTGATATTACATTGTATGAAAATACAAATTTCGGCTACATATTTTGCAAGAGATACTGTCTAGGGAAGACCATAAACTTATAATGGAATCTCCCAACTCCCATAGAAGGCTGACACCTACAAATAAAAAGACTCTAAATTACGTGGCTTAAACCATGCGGGTCGACAGCCACTTAGCCGTGATGGAATCCAAGTTGATATTTAAACCTGCGAAAAATATCTTGACGCTTAAACGAGCGTCTGAATGGGAGTTTTTTGGATCGTGTTGTAAGAACAGTGGTTGTTTTCATATACAGGGGCTTGTTGTGCAATGACTTATACGCAGTGAAGCTTGACGACCCAGAGAACTAACTGGTCGTAGTCCTTGCGTTCCAAATAACCTGCCAGTAGGTGGACATTACAACCTGAAGCCTTTACTCATAACAAAGTCTGAACTGCAAACAATCGTGGCGCGAATACAGCTAAAGTTATAACCAAATGAACTTCAGAATTCCCGTACAGTGTTGTCAGCAATGTTTAGAAAGAATTTACAAAATTACGATAAAGTTTAAACCAGTTGAAATGATGGTGAACCAATGGGTAAATCGAGCCGTTTTAAGAGCGAAAGGAGTATGGTAAAGAATGCTTTGTATTCGAAGTCTCACTCTTTGTTTGACTGCTGGAAACATTTCCTTGAAGTAGAAGACAAGCTGTGCTATGTTGTTCGGGAACACTACGGTATTATTCACAAAACGGGGTGATTCAAGAAACAATGACTGTTCGAAGCCAGTCAGTGCGGTAAATGATTGCGGAAATTAGAACGTAGTTCTGCCATAGAGAGTGTTTAGTGTTTCGAGCCCGGTGTTTGTTTTTCTTCGGTGAAGTAATAAAGAGTTGCACAAGATACTTCATTATGAATGAAAGCAGTGCACATAATAAAAAAATATTTTGCTCTACAACACTCAAAGCTTGTTTTAAAAGCGACCTACATATCTGAAATTGTCAGGTTTTTAGCTGGCCCAGGTTTCAAGCTATCTTTGGAGTTTGAGGAGTGTGCAAGAGCAATCGAACAATCGGAGATCTTATAGTGACGAAGTAGAGAGAAATATTTTGTTAATGTAACCATAATAAAGGGTAGAGAAATACTTAATATATGTATTTGTTTGTGTGTGTATGTTGTTTCTTTGTTTGGGTTGGCACCGAAAATATATGGTGTTTGTTCTAGCGTAAATCCACAAATGAAATTTTATTTGTAATTAGAAAATTGCATTGTATTGTTGGGCACAGAGAGGAGAAAGGTGGGCATTAGATGGAAATTTGATTTTCAAATTAATGTCAAATTTAAAATGTAAATAAGGAGTTTTTTGAGTTTTTGATTGAGAGTCAAATGATCGTTTAATGTTCTACCTAGTGTAATAATTATTAGTATTAACAAGTTTTCCTTTAATTTGCGCACATTCGTTTTATTCTTATTACCGGGATCCTGGTTAACACGATTCTGAAATTGCAGCAATTACCGATCCAGAGCAACAATGGAATCAATGCATTTATTGAAATCAGAATGAACACAAGGTTAGTAAGAAAGATTGAGTCTAGCTCTGATAAAAGCTACAGAAATTTTTGAAATAAAAAAAAATGAGAGAAAATTTCTCATCTAGTAACAATATTGATGTATTCATAAATGGCTGAAGAACTTATTCACTGTCTCCATGGAAAAGCTTCATTCAAGGTTGCTGGTTCTTCAGCTGATAATTCATCGGCCGTGAATGCAAAATTGATTGATGACTCCTAGTTGTTTGGACGACACCTTCCTTGTTGAGGTTAAGGGCACGCTGATTACGACGCTGATTACGATGCTTAGTGTAATAGCGCTTGCTCCTTGTGAGTTTATTCTCAAGAATGGCAGGAAAATAGACAATGAACTCTGACAGTTAGATGAATTATGTAATTGATTGACATTCATTTGAACGTCATTTGTAACGGAGCCTACAATCTTAGGATCCCAACATATCTAACATATCTATCACTACATTAATCCCAATAATTTCAAACTAATAATTTATCATTGAATGACATATAATTTCTGGAGAAATGATCAGATCTGCACGAATAAGAATAGCTCATGGTTTTGCGATAGCGTATCTACTTTATCTCATATGATTATGGAATCGCTTAAATCATTTGAAATTATCAACGGCTTATCATTACTGTTATTCACAGCGCGCCTGGCAAAGTAGGTCATCTCTTGCACCGGCAGCGCGAAAATTGCTGCGTCATGTTCGTGCGTGGTCTTCACTTGCACTTTTATGCATACAAAGAAGCTGACGTACGCGTCATGGGCAACGTAGGCTGACGTAAAAAACGTTCGCCGCTTGGTGATGCCTTGTTGATGCAATCGCACCTTCAGGTGACGCATTTCATGCAATCACGACTTAAGGTGTTTAATTGTTGTCCGCTCTTTAGCGACGTTGGGTGGCACCATATAAGGAGTCGTGGAGATGGGTTTTGATATATGCAATGAGGGGGTAAACTAGCAAACATTGCTTTGAGATGAGTTTCACGCGTGTTGATTATAAACGAAATAAGCATGCCATCAATAAGTACGTGTAATAGCACAAACTCATACTTTTCCAGTCTCAAATTTATGTGTTCATCTAAAGCGCAGCGTTTCAAAAGAATCAACGTATTCGGAGTCCAAATTTTGTTAGAAAATTTAATTAAAATCTAATAAAACAGTATTTCGATGTCTGCAAGGTAAGCTTAGATGACTTAAATGACTGCTGCTTCGATAGAAGCTCCAAGATTTTTATTTCGGCGAGAGTCTGTAACGAATCGTAAAGTCAAATGATGCCAAATATTTAAGGAAGCAATTTGGTTAAATAGCCTCTCTCAAACATAAAAGCTGGACGCTACATGAAAATTTCACTTGTTGTGACTCGTTTGAGTTGCTAATACCGTGCAGGAAGTTATTGGAAAATAATGTATCAACATAATTCGCGTATGATTGATCATACTGGATGATACATCAACGAAACACGCAAGATATTTTCAAAGAAACGTCAATTGCAAAGAGGTCAGTGAAATAGATAACACGCTATAAATGTAAGACATGATTGCGATTTTGTAAAATTGCCGTTTCACTCGTGCTGGAGTGCAGGTAACAAAGTCTGCATAGCATCATTTAAATGAAATTTATGGAGCAGCTGTTCGTGTGTGCTGTGGCTTTGTGGTCCTAATTTTTTAATCTGATCTCTGTGCAGCTGATCGCTCATTTATAAAAACTGCAGAAGTGAAAGCATCTAAGAAGCCTCATTACTATTGGTGAGCCGCAAGTCGGGAGTTGGCAAATAAATTTGTACTTTATTTATTTAGCTTTAAGCTACGGAATTTGCTTTGCAGGAGGCCAACAGTACACGCGTTTGCTATTAAATTATGCCCCAGAATTTTTCGGCCCTAATTTTCAAGCGCACGTGCTGCCTTACAATGTGCTTCATATTTTAGTACCCCGCATGAATATTTTTTGTCCATCACACGTCAGAGAAAAGGGATTATGTTAGGGCACCGTTACAGGTTTGGTGTGGATGCAGCCTGACCACAACGGAGGCTGTGGCTCTCAGAAAGTGAGAGTCGCTCGGATGACTAACGCGCGACGCTCGAGGGCAGTTCTGCCGGTACTGGAATTTAGCTTGGCAACTGCACCTCTACTGCCCTACGATGGTCAGCCTCGCGACATGAGGAGGGCATGACAATTACGCAATAATAAGCAGAGCGCAACCTGCATACTGGGTGTATGCATGGTTGCTGCGCACCACCTGTACGCTGGTTGTATGGTTGCAAAACAACAGGTGTATGCTGGTGGTATGTTTTCTGCAAAGTGCCTGTATGTTGGTTTAATGGTGGCAATGCACCGCCTGCATTCTGATTGTAGGTTGTTGCGTAACTCCTGCCTGCAGGTTGTATGGTGGTAGCATACCAACTAAATGCTGGTTGTAGGTTGCAGTGCACCATGCAGTTGCATGACGATTGCAGATTGTAATGAACCTATTGCATGCTGCCTTTTTGGTTACAGTGCGTTAAATTCATGTTGTTGTTATCAAACCCTCGTCTGTATGCGGCTTGCGACCGCTCATGTTCACTAGAGCAGTTAATTTGAGTTATTCGCTTATAAAAGTTTTTGATGTTATATTTGGCTTCTTCCATGGGAAATTCCAAATAAATAGTTTAGATTAAAAGGAGAAGGTACTCAAAAAGCATTTAATGGAATAATTGTTTCCACAGAGAAATTAATTGTGCTAAACACAGTTTTAGCCTTTGGCTCCTTTGTTCGTCTTCTTTACTTCATAAGTTGCGAAAGGATCAATTAAGATTGTCTCAGACGTGGTGGCATCACAAAGTTATAAAATTTCATAATATGAATAAAAATTTCATAATAATTGCATTTCAATATCCATCTCATAAATAAGAGTTTAACTTCATCATTGGTAGTACTTGCACATAATTTGTAAAAAATTAACGGAGATAGTGGAATTATTTTAATATTTAACTTTACTCTTAAGTCGGGAATATTTCATTCAACATGTCTGGGAAAGATAGATTGCGGTACATTTTTAAATATTAAAACTTATGGAGAATTTATTTCGCTAAATTTTATTATGTTAACAATAAATTGAATGCCAATTACGATTAGGTATTTTATCATGGAGTTTGCTCAACGACACTTGAAAATGATGATAAACCATTTTGATTTAAAAGTCGTATTGTTTGAGAATAATTTATGGTCATGTAATTTTAGATACTGAATAAATTCAAAACCGTAGAAACAACTCACGTGCACGCGTCAGTAATTAGTATGGTTGTTCACAATATAATTCTGAAGCTATTCCACAAAAAGATTCTTACTCCGAGGACACTGTGCAAAACTGAGGGTAAGTGATCACTAACAAAGTCCAGTGCGATCAGTGAAGCTGCAAAGCTATACTACCCAAGCAAGCAGGACCTACCTTGTCTTATCTCCCTCCTACCCAACTGGGAACTAAGAGACTCGCAGCAAACTTGCTATAAGATGCTTGCCGACATTGCCTTTCCATAGCGGAGGGGGCGGGCGTAGCCCAGGTCACACTCTCCTGCCCAGCGCAGGGTGACCTGCAGCAGCTCGACCAATCCTGAGACGCGCTTACTTCTTCAGCCTCTGACGCCACGAGTTTCAAAGGTCGTTGCAGTGAGCTTAAAGCTCTTCACTTTCGTCACTTTCATTTAGAGTATGCGTGCATGGAATGCCTCAGCCTATTACTATTTACACAAGTATACTAAAAAATGCATGATCGTCCAATTCAACTTTTTGGAATAAATCCCGCTGTGCTTGTTCCATCCAAAAATTAATGGCTGCGTGTATGCTGACCTTCAGTTTTTTATTCTCGTCATTCTAACCAGGAGACCAGAAAACGTTATAACTTTCGCAAAGCTTCTCAGTTTCGCAGTTGTACATCGATTCTTAAATTCGTCATTGATCCTTAATTATCCTCAAGCTGTTTTTTGGGTAATAGCTGTAATTTAAAGCGATCCAGCTCTTGCACATTTAAATATAAAATGATTTGAATTAATTTCTTAAGAAAGTAAGCTATTAGCTGTATCTTTGAAATGAATTCACTGGTTACTTTAGGAGGAAGTGGATTATCAATAAAACCTAGCACAAATATTTTGATCGTTTGGGGAACTTTCATATCACATGCGAGAAATAAGAGCAATAATACAAATTCATTAAAATTAATTCCCACTACTAAAATAAAGTTGGAACAGGAAATATATATGCTGTGTTACCTGATAAACTTTGACCACAAGCTGGAGATCCCGATCAAGTAACGTCATTTGTGATGCAGTTACATGTGTTAGTTATATACTCACTTCACCAAAATAAGAATCATTACGAATAAAAAATATCGACTATTGGTTCCATAAGGATGTAAATCATTCTTCACCACCTTTCGATGGTATGCTTCTATGGTATGGGATGCCACCATCGGAAAATAATATGCCACATAATTATTCCATTTCATGACATTCCTTAAATAAAATTGTCATTTTCGGGGGATTCGATGCGTTCTCCTACGCTTGAGACACATGCCGTTCTAAGGCGAAATTATCATTCAGGGAGAGGCATACGCTGGTCAACCGACGTCGTTGCAATGTACCTTGTGTCTCATACTGCCCTGCATATTGTACATTTTTATGGTTCGATAAGCTTTAAATATTTATAGTTGGATGTCAGGTTTCTGATCTTCAATCTGGCTCATAACACTAATTTTTGAAGAATTTCATAAAATAGCTCCGATAGAAAAGTATTCGTATTTGTGACTCAAGCAATATAAGAGCTATGCTAAACTGGAGCGGCCTTTCAGATTCAGGTTTAATGTTCACTGTTTAATGCGTTGTCCATCACTTACAAATTCTCATGCAAACTGTCATTATAGATGGACAGAACTACAAAATGACTCTGGTCACTGCCTTATTCAGGAGTGCAGTGACAAGTGGCTGGGTTTATGTTAACACATTCCTTACTGGCACCGCAACAATTGAAGTATGACTATAATTGTGCCATAAAAACCTGTGATGCGCCAGCCACGACTCATTAGTTAGCGCCATTTACAGAAGCTAACAAATCAATTGCTGAATTTGAGGACTACTAAGATCTGAGTAGCCATACGAGTGCACTTGGATGCAAGAGGACTTCACATTTTAGAATACGTGTTAGAATATGACCTGGCACAACCCTGTTTATTTTTGGCATTCGTGTAGAAGAAATATAACTGAAAGATACAACACACATTTAATTCCTCATCGTTCTGTTCGGCTCATCAATATTTTTACTGAACCCTAGTTTTTACGAGGATAAATAAGACATCATTATACATGATTAAGAATTTTTAGTCTCACGCTGCTAGAAGGAAGTACGAATAATGTACACGGCGGGTAGAAATATTTTTTTTCCATTAGAAAATCAAATGTTTCAAATGAATGACTTCTATTGCCTAAATAACTGATTGGAAGCATGCGACCAGTAATGTGAGATAATCATTTCTTTCGTAATTTTGTGGGACAAGGCACATTTTACTTTGCGAGCGCTGCAGTTCATTTCAGATTTCGGTGTGTCCAAAATTGCAAATTTACCCTGTCGTATTTCGCATGTTTCAGGGAACTCCAAATCACCAGACAATCCACCAAAAATTTGACGCGACCTCCAGGACGAAATTATTATAGTAATTTTTGCTTGGGATCATGGCCCTGGACAACATTATTACCTGAATTATCTCACCGCAGGAATATTGATTACACAACGTGCAGCTAATAATGCAATGAATGCGCCGTAATTACATCAATGAAGAGGATAGCATCAAGCGCACAGAGAACTGGAGGCTGCCATCACGCGACGGTGCAGGTAGATTTAATCTCATCACTGCTGGATAGGCATTACCAGTCGGATGCTAAGTTTACCTCATTTTAAAATGTTGAATATTCTTTGTGTCGTCGGGGGAAGAAATCCGCGTGACTGAACTTAGCCGTAATTTAATGCGTGGATATATCATATTTCAGGTCCGTGCTACTCGCAACTTCTTCACACGAATGCCAGCCATGAATTATATGTTTGGATATAATTTAGAAATTCACGAATGCAGTCAAAAAACTTGAAGTATTATTTCAAAAGTGACGATGTCTTCCTGAATATCGCATAGCCTAAGATTTCACTCATGTAAAATGATGAGAAAAAAATATATATAAATATATAAAATATATATATATATATATGTATATAGGACTTGTTGTGCTTTATTTTTTGGCGGCCAAAGTAAGTAAAAGACTTCATAGGATGATGCAGAGAAAGCTTCAATGGTGCACCTGCAAAAATGTCACTGGATTGGACTTGTCGCGTGCGATAAGCCCTTTCGAAGTTGTCAATCTTCTGTCAGTATCACAATTATTTGGGCCTGTCTAACAGATAGAGAAAGTACTTAGCTTGAGAGATAACGTCAGCCAACATTTCAAATATTCTAAAGTGAGGTAGTTTTCCTCCAAACCACTGCTTCAGCTGAAACCACCACGCCTTCCTTTATTTTGCGATCAGAAGTAATCACAATTTTTCCATCGTTTACAATCTGTGTTAAATTGGTCCTTACTGGCCTAATAAAAATTAGGCCTGTTTATACAGCGTTTAATATTAGAAAAGATTTTGATGAGCGCGAACTAAGCCTGAGAATATAATCTATAGTGATGCGATCAGAAAATTTTCTTTGAACATGAAATGAATTAGTATTCTTCATTTTCACATAAGAATGCTTCCTCCAGATTTGGATTTCTGCCATTTCCTCTATGCATTTACGGGAATACTTCCAAAAGGTTGATCCGCAGGTGCCTCCATGGTCAGCCAAGTTAAATTTCTTAAGGCGTAGTCGTCTAACTCTGTAGTAGAATAAGGGGTCGCCCAGGAGGAGCATAGAGCACAAATGTTTTTTCGAGGCTGTTCCATGTGCGATTTGAATCAAGAGTTAAATCAATCGTTGCTTTCCAAGAACACTAATTGTTGAATTGGTCACAAATTTAGCCGTTAATCTTCCAACTCGAAATTAACATTAAAAAAAAAATGAGGATAAATTTTTGCAGATAACTGAGATACTTTTCAAAATCTACCATGAGACATCAATTATTGTGGCATCATCTGAACTAATATGTAATTGTGATTTGAAAATACTCTGCGAAGGTAGGTAATTTTCGAATGTATCACAATGATATTCGTGACTACTAAAATAAAAAATTTTATATTTTGAAATGTCTGATGTTATTACCATAGACATTGGTTTCCTGGTTTTGATCGAGAACAAATGTTACACGATTCTTTGAATTCTTATTGAATAATCTAAAACTTGATGCTCCCAGACTAACACATATATTTGGTTCTATAATTTTCGACCTTGCCATGCCAACGCCCTATAAACTCTGAGTTTCACCTCCAATTTGCCCTTGTAAAATAGTTTAATTATTTAGCAATTATTGTTATATTGCGCCAATAGAAAAAAACTACCATAGGAATAATTATTAAATTAGTCAGTATATTTTTCTCGTAAATTCTAGCACAAAGTCTACCGTCGGATCCGTCGCCTTCATGCTAAGTGGATAGGAAGTTAAAATTTAAGACGGCCTTTGTATTTTGATTCTCGATGTCTAATACTTCGTAGGTTATATAAAAGGATGTTCATCACTATAGCGTTAGACCGTAAAATGCGCAAGTGTGAGAAGATGCGGTGGGCAACAGGTCACCCACGAGACCGAGGTGGGCAGCTTGTGTAGCCTGCAGCCAAGGAGTCAAGGTTGGCCGCCGTCTCCAAGCGGGTCAAAACCATTTGGGAAACCCGAACCCTAAATCTACAAGCTATAAGCTTAAGATATAATGCAGACGAGGTTTATACTGTTTATATAGAATTTAGTGCTTGCAAGGACTCAACATAAATTTGGACTCGCATTTATATTAAAAGAACTTTTATGTCAGTAATACGAATTATTGGATTTGGTGTGGTACGTGAGGTGCCGGGGGAACAGTTCGTCCTCAAGGATTTGTGTGACTCGTGCCAAGTGAAGGAAGTAACATATATGATTGATGCCGTATAAATACGGTAGATGTGAAAAACAGTTTCTATGATTTGAAGCTCTAGCAAAAAATCATTTGGAGATTTGTTTGGGTACCAAGGACGAAAAGATATTTCGGACTTGTGACACGTTAATGGACGAACGAGTTCTTGGAGTTGATTTCAGACGTTAGGTACCACAAAAAAAAAACTTTTATGACTTGTTTTGAGACGTTTTATAGACAGAAGAATTTGTGATGATTTTTTTGATGATTTTTGTGATACTTTTTGTACATGAAAGGGTTCTAATTTTGATGTGTAGTGACTTACTTTACACAAAATGTATTGAACCTGTGTTGATGAGGA